TTGGATAAATAAAAATGAGGAAGGGGAGGGGAAGGGAAGAATTGTATTATTTTATGTTTGGATAGTTAAGGTAAAAGGAAAGGAAGGAAGGGAAGGATTTAAATTAATTTTAAATTTATAAACTTACCCTTTAAGCTTGTAATGGAGAAGGATATAATAAAAAAATTAAGGTTAATTTTGTAATTACATTTAACTTAATGTAAACAGCCACTCAAATCCCTCCCAAACCCCCCAAATCGGGCGGATTGCAAATCTGCAGATTCGAGGGGAGTTGGAGGGAGTCCGAATCAGTCCATCTCCCTCCCCCTCTGCCTCTTTGGAAACCCAAATAGGAGGAAGGAGAGAGCTCCCCCTCACTCCCCCTCCCTTGCCATCCGTCCCCATCCCTTCCCCTCCCTCTCCGTCCGACACCTCCAATCCAAACAATACCTTAGGGTTTCTTCTTCTCCTCTTTTCCAACTCCAAATCAAAATCTATGATGCTTCTTCTTCTCCTAATCAAGGTAAGGCCTTGATTTCTCCTTGTCCCATCTCTCTTGAGAATGAAATTTAACTTAGAATTTCCATTTGTAACTGATATGTTCTAGAAAATATCAAGATTTGTTGTTGTCCGTTCCTTGAATGCCCAATGGGTGCTCTTTCTACAACTTTCTAATAAGTAATCAACCATATTACTCATCTTTTACCTTTGAATTGAGTTGGGTTATCTTTAATCCTATTAGGGTTTTCAATTTGGGGTTTATTTCTATAGTTTTCCTCCTTGGTTTTGTCGTAGTGGCACCAAATCTGATTTGTTCTGCTAGATTCGGACAGCATGACCTATCTGTAGTGTTTTGCCCATAATTCTATCTATAGTTATCATATTAAGTTGATTTTTGATTCTTTTGAAAGTAAGAGGTAGCCCTACAATTTTTATGTTGAATGTTTAACCTAATTAAGCTGTTTTCATGGTGAAAACCCTTCTACAAGTTTGATTCCCGTAGGCGGACTTAACTGGCAACCCGACCTTGTGTTAGTATTTTGGTCATAACTCTCTTTGTAGATGTCGGATTAAGGTAATTCTTGATGCTATAGAACGCTAAGACATAGGGCTATAATTTATTTGTTTACCACTCAACCCAAATCAGTCAATTTCTAGGCATGAATTATGTTGGAAATTCCAGCATGAAATCTGACTAGAACTTGCTAGAAATTTACTCTGTTTCTATTTCATTTCCACTCTATTTGTCGCTACATTGCATCTTGGTTTTAGTAGACTTTAGCTGCTATTTTGCTACTCTAAAAGCCCTTGATATTGCTTTGTTTTGGCTACCTTTTTCTACTGCACATTTTGCTTAAATGTTACCTAGTTTGGCTTGTAGTCTACACTGTGTTTCTGTTGTTTTTACGTAAAAAATCCCTGCTATTCTATCCTAAAACAATATCTGATTTTCGCTCCTGTTATCCATTTTTGTTGCCTCAGTTTTAATTTGTTTAGCTTTTGAAAAAAATATATAAATATCCACTACTTGAAAGCATGTATTGTTGCTTGTTTTTATGCTTTAATGGTAGCACCTGTTCACGTGATTTTCTACACTTAAATCATGCTCAGGCTGTCCAGATTTTAAGTTCATTTACCTACAACATTTCTTGCTTAAAGACTGTCCATTTCTACCTAGTTTTGACATGTTTTATGTATTGTTTCTACTGTTGTTTTTGCTAGAAATTCCGCTGGTGTCTAGTATAGTTTTGGACTTGGTTTTCCACATTATTTTGACTTGGTTCTGCCTAGGAAATTTGCTTGGTAAATCTGCCTTTGTAGTGTCCTTTTAGGAGCTGTTTTAAAAAGAGTAGAGGTGATTGGGATGTGTAGAAAGAAGTTGCTTCTTCATTTAGGAAACTTGATTTTGGGTTAGGAACCAAATTAGTCAATGAATATGTTGTAATCTTTTTGTACTTTAATGTGGTATAGGTTGGAAATCCCGTCAACTGCATTGAGATTCTTGAATTTCTTGAATTTCTTGCTAGTGTCTATTGACAAGGTGGGGTAAGTAAAAGCATGGTAATGCCTTTGGATTTGAGGTAAAGGTTTTTGAAAGCATATTTCTGATGGTTTTTTTGAAATGGTGGCGGGACTAAACCCATTTTACACAAACACGAACGTGATTGGTTTGAATGAAATTATTATTATTTTCATTGAGTTGAGCATGCCTGCTTGGAGTTTACTTGACTACCCTGATGATTAGGAAATCATTTGTAAATTATGGTTTTCCTGTTAAATCCTATCTGGTTTTATCTCCAATATGGTCATGTTTTACTGTGCCTGCTAGTGGGAGGTTTATAAATGCTAGTACATATCGACATGTTACTTATGGAACAGGTTCATTCTTGTTATATTGTTATCCTGCTAATGGGATTATACACTAGCAAATCTTGTGCCTGCTAATGGGAGGTTTATAAACGTTGGCCATGACCAATAGAGGAGACGTCTGTTTCATTCTTGCACTTGTACTGGTTTTTCTTGATACTTGATTATACTTGTTGGCATGCTATAAATTTTAATTAAGGGCTATCCATATTTTTACTTATTGAGTTATCTCACACAGTTTTTTTTCTTTGTCCACCATTTCAGGTAGTGTGACCTAAGACGCGGGAAACCAAGGGGAGTGACGAGCTAGAAGGCTAGTTACTTATGTTTTGGAATTAGTTTGTTTTGAAGATAGGCCCACTAGACTAATCATGTTGGATTAAGACTTTGTTTTGAGATTTTATGGTATTAGCGTAGATTATGTGGTATAAACAAGTTCTGAGCCTTGTGCATTTGTGGGATTCCCTCACAAGTGTACGGTGTCTGTTTCGCTCTCGGTTTTAGTTCTAGGGCATGACAGATTTTGTGGTATCAGAGCTTAGGTTTTACAAAATACCTAGGGTGACTAAAATCTTGAGATGAAATGGATTTTAGGACTGTGGTGAGATGAGTGATGAGGTTATACAAGAGAGGATTCTAATTCTTATTTTATGAATTTTCCTGGTCTGTTTTGATGAGATGGTAATTTGGTTGTTCCTGTTATCTGCTTTTATACATGGTGTAGATTTGTGAAATTAAACTTGCTCACTATGCTCTTAGAATCTTGTTTCGAAACTTGGTCTTTTGTGATAACCTACACTTGTTCGAACTTGTTACTTTAATAGAAATTTATTGATGGAACTCTTAATACCAATGGGATTGCTTGTGAGACTCTTGAAATCCTTGAACCTTTTCTTGGGATTGCTTGGTCATGTTCTTGAGTACTGAAATCCAAATATGGATTATAATTGTTGAAATTCTCATTTTCTTGAGACTTGTTTGAAACTGTTCCTTGCATTGTGCTTGAAATCAGTTCTTGAATCTTGCTTGAAATTAATTCATAATAACATTCTATTCTTAAAAAAATCAATTGATGTAGTTCTTAGAATTTGTTCCAAACTTGCTTCTATTCTTGAAAATTGTTTGGAAATCTATTATTGCTCAAGCTTTGAATTCTGCACTTGTTTTTGTTTCTTGAGTATTGATATCCAAATATAAATTATGCCTGGAGTTCTTGAAGTTAGCCTGACATATGTTAATGTAGAAAATTGATTGATACTTGGTTTTGGAATCTATTCTGAACTGTCCTTGAAAATATTCTTGTTTTGACACCTACTCATGCTCAAATTCTGAAATTTATACTGGTTGTTATTTCTGTATAACAATATACCTGTTAATTTCTTGTTTTTAAGTTTCATGTGGACACTTCCTTAGGAGGGCTGACGACTTCTAGGGATATATTTAGAAATATCCCTATTTTGTTATGGAAAGGTAGCCTAATGTTGATATTACGTCTTAATATCTTTGATTTGATTTGATTTTAGAGATGACTTGACTGTAGAAATATCTTGTCGCCATGGACTATGCTTTTAGTGGGTTGTCATCATGGTATTTACTACTCTAGAGTTCAGTTCTAAAGGAATAGCTCTTTTCCTCTATTTACTTAGATTCTTGTTTTGATACCTAACAATACGTTATTGATTTCCTAAGGATCTTGATTCCAACTACTGATTTGTTATGTTGACTAATTCTAGTTATTTGAGATGCTTGATTTGGATATCTCGGTCATATATCCTAGGCATATTTGCCCTTGATTTTGTTATGGTGTTTATTTTTTAAATTCTTACCCATGTGTAATATCCCAAATTTTTGAGAATTTTATCATTTAAGTTAGGGATTTATTTTAGGGAAAAATATTGTTTGGGGCCTAATGGTGAAAATTTTGAAACTTGAGGGACTTAAAAGAGAAAATGAATTGGATAAGGATCAGCTATTTTTTTTCCCTTCTTTCTTTCTTCCTTATCCGCGTGTTCCTGCTCATTCTTCTTCTCCCCTGCAGCCAAACAAGGCTAGGCCACCGACAACACCTCCCTTTTGAAAAACCGGTAACAAGCTTGGTTTTTGCCTTTCTTTCTTGTTCAAGAACAAGATTTAAGCTTGGAAATCCCCCTCTCTCTGCAGAATTACCAGATTTGCTCTGCTTTGCTCTTCCTCCCCTGTCCGTCGGTTTCTACTGGGTGCGAATTTCTGGGCGTTTTTCGGTAAGCTACAGTCATGGATCTCCTCCTTTTAGCCTTGATTTAACTTGGGTTACTCTAAGTTCCTCTTGTTCCTTCAATTTTGGGTTAATTCCGTGAGTCCCCTGTAGAATTGCCGCTGGCTTCTTTCCCCCTCCAGTTCTGCAGCTGGAAAAATTCTGGTATGTAACAGCTACAATAAGTTCAAATTTTTAGTCCATTTAGCTGTTGTTTTGTTGAATTTATCCATGTAGTGGCTGCCCTTGCACTGTCCGAAAATCTGTTGAAAAATGGGGATGAATTTTGGTAATAATTAGAGCATAATTAAGCTTAATTCATGTATAAATTGCTTGAGTTGGCTGCTGTGATTTTGGAGAAAATCCCGAGTGTTTTAGCCCCTGTTTTTGCCAAAGCCATGCTCTTCCCTTTTGCCGTGTGATTGGGAAACCATTTATATATGTATTTGTGTATATAAATATATATATACACAATCTGGTCAATGAAATTGCTTATAGAATTAATTCTTGAATATTTGGCTAGGTTCTTGATCCTTGGGGCACTTTAGTATATGGCTTGAGTCTTCGGTTTTGTGCGATTTGAGGTAAGTAATTATGGTAACGCCCTCCGATTTTAATGCACATTTTAGCTTGTTTTTGAAGTGGTGGCAGGACTAAACCCATTTTACACAAGTATGATCGATTTGAAATGAAATTATTATTCTTTTTATTGATTTAAGCATGCCTTATTGGAGTTTACTTAATTGCCCTGATGATCTGAAAATTATTTGTGAATTATGATTTTCCTGTTAACTTCTGCCTGTTTTGTCTCCGATATGGTCATGTTATTCGTGTGCCCGTTAGTAGGAGGTTTATAAACGCTAGCATATGTCGACATATTACTGATAGAACCGGTTCGTTTCTGTTATTCTGAGATCCTGCTAGTGGGATTATGCACCAGTAAATCGTGTCTGCCAATGGGAGGTTTATAACATTGGCCATGACCTATAGAGGAGACATTTATTTCGTTTCTGTACTCGTACCTATTATTCGTGATTATACTGGTTGGCATGCTATAAATTTAATTAAGGGCTATCCATATTTACTTACTAAACTATCTTATAGTTTTTCCTTGTCTACCATTCCAAGAAGCGAAGTCAAGGACGGGGAAAAATGAGGGGAATGACGAGTTAGAAGGCTAGCCATCTTGTAAATTGAACATAAATTTTAGACATAAATCATGATCTTGTAAGCTAGACTTTATTTGGAGATTTTATGATATTAGAGCAAATTTTATAATTTTATCTTCAAATTGAGTGGTATCAGATTGTGGTATGATAAAATTCCGAGCCTTGTGCATTTGTGGGACCCTCTCACAAGTGTACGGCGTTTGCCACGTCCTCGGATTCGGGTTCTAGGGCGTGACACCATGTCTTTTGATGGGTCTAATTCTTGACTTTGTTAATTGGTAAAAATTTGTCTTTTGATTCTAGTTGCCTAGTTAAACATGATCTGATTATTGATTAACCTTGGTTTGTGGCGGAATGTATAAGGCATTCTACATTAGGTCTATTGTTTAAATATTCATTTGGACATTCATACATGAATGCAAACATAGATATACATGAGCATATACATGTATACCAGCATGCACATAGAGGCATTCATTCATACATGCATATACATGCATTCATCCATTCATGATCCCACGTATGCATTTGATGCTTATCCATCTCGAATAGGATTCAATCTTTTAGTTGTACTCATTGTTAGATTCCTTGCCATGTTGTTGTGTTTGATGGGCACCAGGTCTTGATTTGGGTCGAGGGCACTACATAATCACATCGATAACCCTTAAGTTTAGTTACTTGTGTTGAGGCGTGAAGTTAGCTCCCGCTTTCCAAATGGCCATTGGGGAGGGTGGAGAATGAGATTTGTTGTTGGCTTGTTAGAGCAATGATGAGTACCCATTCCTTGTGAAGTGAATCTAACTGTTGTACCTTTGTAACTGTCGGCCATGTATCTTGAAATTGATTTCCTTGTAATTGTGACGCTAAAATTTAATGACTAGTAGATTTTGAGCATGTGCATTTATCTAAAAAAGGGCAAGATAGATGGTCTTGTTATCATTGTTTCTGTCATTTTTTTGCTTGAATATTGGTTGATTCTATTGATGTTTTGACCTTGGAACTTACTATTTTACAAATCATTTGGAAACTTAATCCTTTGGAGTTATGTAGTATGTTTCCCCGATGTAGGAGTTTACTTTTGATCTTGCAATGTGCTATGTGTTGTCACTTCGACCATCGATATTATGATGGTCTTGAGCTCAAGCTAGAGACCACTTTAGGATGATCTTAGTTTTCTTAATGTCTTACCCTAGAGCTTGTAATAAATGTAGGTTATTGAATTTTGATTTTAGTCATAGAGGTAGTTATTTTGGAACTCAAAATTGATGGGAAGAGTCTAGATCTTTTGTGGTTCCTTGAGTTGATTTTGTTTGATCTTCATAGACTCTTGGTTTAAGTTATATCCTCGAATATGTCTTGCTAACCAAAAATTTTGTTACGGCAATTAAGGCTGGGCGCACACGCGGGCAACCGCACGGTTGCTTGATAACCACACCAAAATTGGGTCTGCACTGTGGGCACAAATGGGGTTCAGGCCCAAGAATACTGTTTTGAGCCTCAACCGTTTATAGTTGGTGTGGTGTTCAGTTCCAAGCCCAAGAACCGAACAACCAAATAATAAACTTGAAAACCTATATTTTTTTTTCAAGAAAATATAAAATATATACCCTAAAACACAAACCCTAATTTCATTCATTCCCTCCCCTAGAAATTTTCATCTACCGCCTCTCCCCTCCGCCAAAATCTTTCCCCCCACCCCAATTTAGAAATTTTCAACCATTCCCCCTAATTTCATAATGGAGTACTCATCTTTTAAGCCTTTAATCTCTCATATTTCCTTCTCACTTCACTTTCACTTTTTTTTTTCACTTCTTCTCCTCATTCGCTCCCTTTCACAACTAAGATCCTTTCTTCATCATCCATCTCTGACCCCAATTTGCTTTGGCTTTAGTCATTTCTCTGTAGTACATCACCAAAAATCTGAAATCAAAGCCCTACTAAGATTAGATCTCCTGTCATCGAGGCTTTTCTCTTTCCTTTCTTT